TCAAGAATTAACATCAGTCCTTCTCAAACTCTCCAAAAAATTGAGGAGGAGGGAACACTTCCTAACTTATTTAGAGAGGCCAGCATTTCCCTGATACCAAAGCCAAAGATATTATGAGAAACAAAATAACCTATAGACCAATATCCTCTTAGATGAATATTGATGCAAAAATCCTCCACAAAACACTAGCAAACTCAGTTCAGCATATTAAAGGATTATACACTCTGATCAATGAGATTTCTTCCCAGAATGCAAGTATGCTTTTTTAAAAAATTAAATATTTATTTATTTTGAGAGAGAGTGCACACAAGCAAGGGAAGAGGCAGAGAGAGAGAGAGAGAGAGAGAGAGAGAATCCCAAGCAGGCTCCATGCTGTCAGCACAGAGCCCAATGCAGGGTTTAAACCCATAAACCATAAGATCATGACCTGAGCCAAAACTGAGAGTCAGATGCTTAACTGACTGAGCAACACAGGTACCCCAGTAAATGATTTTTTTAATGTACTGTTGAATTTAGTTTGTTAATATTTTATTGAGGATTTTACATCTATGTTCATCAGAGATATTGGCCTATAGGTCTCTTTTTTAGTGGTGTCTTAAAATATATGGTTTTAGTATTAGGATAATGCTGTCTTCATAGAATGAATTTTGAAGTTTTTCTTTCTTTTCTATTTTTTGGAATAGTTTGAGAAGAATAGGTATTAACTCTTCTTTAAATGCTTGTTAGAATTTGCTTAAGAAACCATCTGGTCCTGGACTTTTACTTGTTGGGAGTTTTGGCTTATTTGTTTGTTTGTTTGTTTTTATTGAGTCAATGTCTTTGCTGTTATCAATATATTTTTATTTCTTCCTGTTTTGGTAGTTTACATGTTTCTAAGAATTTATCCATGTCTTCTATGTTGTCCAATTTGTTGGCGTATAGTTTTTCATAATATTCACTTATAATTGTTTGTATTTCTGTAGTATTGTTGTTATTTCCCTCTCTCTTTTGTGATTTTATATATTTTAGTCCTTTTTCTTTTCTTTTTGATAAGTCTGGCTAGAAGTTTATCAATGACTGAATTTTTTTCAAAAATCAGCTCCTGGTTTAATTGATCTCTTCTCTTGTTTTTTTTAGTTTCTGTACCATTTATTTCTGCTCTGATCTTTATTATTTCCTTCCTTCCTCTGGTTTTCAATTTCTGGATCCTGGAGTTGTAAGGTTTGGTTGTTATTTGAGGTTTTTCTTGCTTCCTGATATAGGCCTATATTGCTATAAACTTCCATCTTAGGACCACATTTTCTGCTTTCCAAAGGTTTTGGACCACTGTATTTTCATTTTCATTTGCCTTGATATGCTTTTTAATTTATTATCTTATTTTCTGGTTGACCCATTCATTGTTATTTAAACTCTACTTATTTATAGTCTTTTTAGATTTTTTTTGTGTGTGTTTGACTTCTAGTATCATAATGTTGTGGTCAGAAATGATGCATGGTATAACTTCGATCTTGAATTTGTTGAGGCCAGTTTTATGGGCTAATATAAGATCTAACCTGGAGAATGTTCCATGTGCATTTGAAAAGAGCTGATTTTTGAAAACCATGTGAATTGTGCTGTTTTAGGATGGGATGATCTGAGCATATCTGTTAAATCCATCTGTTCCAGAGTGTCATTCAAAAGTATTTTTTCTGATTTTCTGTTTAGAGATCTGTCTGTTGATTTAAGTGGGGTGTTAAAGTTTTTTCTACTACTATTTTATTATTGATTAGTTCCTTTATGTTTGTTAATTAGCTTTTTTATGCATTTGGGTACTCTTATGTTGGGTGCATAAATATACAAGTGTTATATCTTATTGTTGGATTGTCTTCTTTATTATTATATAGTGTCCTTCTTTGTCTCTTGTTATAGCCTTTGCTTTAAAGTGTGTTTTGTCCTGTGGATACTATGGATACTCTGACTTTCTTTTGACATCCATTTGCATGTTGTTTCTCCATTCCTTCACTTTCAATCTAAAGGTGTTTTTAGGTCTAAAATGAGGCTCTTGTAACCAGCTTATATGTGGGTCTTGTTTTTTGTTTTCTGTTTTTTAATGCATTCTGTCACCCTCAGTCTTTTGACTGGAGCATTAGTCTATTTACATTCAAAGTAATTATTGATTGATTGCTGATTTTTTTTTTAGTGTTACATTTGGATTTCTTTCTCTTTATTCTTTACATATTTAGTAATGGTTTGGTTTATGGTTACCGTTAGGTTTGTATATAACCTCTTCTGCACATAGCAGTCTATCTTAAATTGATGGTTGTTTACATTTGAACCCATTCTTTTCTCTTCTTCTCCCCGTGTTTAAGGTATATGGTGTCACATATTATGTTTTTGATTGATTTTTTTATAGACATATTCATTTTTACTGCTTTTGGGTTTCCTACCTTTTTACTGTCACTTTTGGTCTCTTTCCCACTGAAAGAGTACTCTTTAATATTTCTTGCAGGGCTGGTTTAGTGGTCACAAACTCTTTTAGTTTTTGTTTGTCTGGGAAACTCTCTCTCCTTCTATTTTGAATGGTAGTCTTACTAGATATTCTTGACTGCAGATTTTTCCCACTCAGCACTTTGAGTGCTCCCACTCTCTGCTTTTACGACTTTTTTAAGCACTGTATTTTACAAATTTAATTACATTATATCTGGTATGGATTTCCTTTTATTGATTTTGATAGGAGTTATCTGTACCTGGATCTGGATCATGATGTATGTTTCCTTCCCCAGATTTGGAAGTTTACAGCTATTATTTCTTCAAATAAATTTTCTGCTCCCCTTTTCCTCTTCTTCTGGAACTCCTATAATGCAAATGTTATTACATTTGATGGAGTCATTGAGCTCCCTAAGTCTATTCTTGTTTTGCATAACTTTTTCTCTCTTTTGTTCAGCTTCATTACTTTCTATTACTGTCTTCTGTTCCATTAATTCATTCCTCTGCTTCTGACATCCTGCTATTCATCCCATCAAGCATGTTTCTCATTTCATTTATTGAGCCCTTCATCTCTGCTATGTTATTCCTCATCTCCATGTTAAGGGCTTCACTCATGCCTCCACTCTTTTCTCAAAGTCCAGTAAGTCCAGTAAGTATCCCTATGATGATTGTTTTAAATTCTCTATTAGTCCTATTACTTATAACTGTTTTTGCTTAAATTGCTGGCTGTGGCCTTGTCCTGTTCTTTCATTTGGGATAAATTTCTCAGTATCCTCATTTTCTCTCCCTCTCTGTGGCTGTTTCTCTGTGTTAAGAAAGTCAGCTACATCTTCTGCTCTTGAAAGTAGTGACTTTCTGAAGGAGTTCTCTAGTGCCTTGCAGTGCAGTGTTCTAGCACTTCAGGAGAGTATCCTCTGTGTGCTGGTGGGTCTGAGTCACTTTTCCTTTCAGTGCAGTCATCTACACACTGACTCTCTGCTTGTTGTGAGCTGTGCTTCCACCCTGTAGTGTTAGTGGGTCTCAGGTAGGTCAGCTCTAGGGGGATGTGCCTGCAGGGGAAGTTGGAAGCAGGGTAGCAATGTTAACAAAATTTGCATGGGGGAACTGGGCCTGTGCTGGATCTCCCAGAGCACTGCTGCAGTGGAGGGCTATGTGCTGGGGAAGCTGGGAACATAAGGCTGGGCGCAGCATGCAGTGGTGGCTGGGGGTGCACATCCAGGCATGGTGTGGTGGCTAGGCATGGCGTGCAGCAGCAGCTGTGCACCGGGCAGCTGGGCGGACCATGCAGGTGGCTTTAACAAAATTTGCGCTGAGCCCTGTCCAAGGCTATAAGCATCTGTGTAGCCCTGCCTCCCACAGGTGGTTCTGTACTTATGCTGGGGGGGCGGGGGAGAAAGTTGGTGCCTGACAACTCCCTCACTTTTGGAGAAGTCCCCCAACACACTTTGATGTCTGTATAAACAGATCTGTCTCCCATTTTCTCCCAGCGTTGTGTAAACTGCCATTTTTATGTTGCCTGTCTATACAGGCTCCAGTCCGTTTAAGGGTGGCAAATCAGCTATCACTTGCCCTCCTGGAAAGTCAGCTAACTTTTAAAACTCCAGGCTCCAAGTACCACAGGTTTTACAAATCTACCCAAATTCAGTCCCTCTAGTTTTTAAAGTCAAATACTATGGAAATTAGTCTTCCCTATGTGAACTCCCTGATGTGAGGGCCCATTTCTCTGCTCTCTCCAGACATGCAGCTCCCTTCCTTTTACCAGCCTCCCTCTACCCTTCTGACCTTCCTGACTTTTCAGATGCAGTTTCTTCTCTAAAGTTAGTTGTGGAGTTTGTTCTGTCAGTCTTCAGATTGCTTTCCGGTCTATTGACTTGGATGCAGATGATATCTAGTTGCAAATGTGGATGGGGTGAGCTCAGGGCCCCCCTGCTCTGTCACCTTCCCAAGCTAATCCTATCAGGATTTTACTATAATATTGAAATCATTATTATCTCTACATTTCTTCCTTCTTACAACATACTGTGTCTTTAGTTTCCATCATGTCACAATTGTACTACTTCTGGCTGTGGCTGTCTCATCCTAGTGACAGCTTTAATTTTATACTGAGTTACTGATAAAGATAGAGTTAGAGTGGTTATAGAACAAGAGAATGTAAAAGTCATTGATTGCCTCTCATGCCAACTTTAATGGAGGAACCTTCAGTAATTCATCGAATGTTTGTGTACTTCCTGTGTGCCAGGCACTGCACTGAGGGCTTGAATACAAAGTCATACAAAACATGATCCTTGTCCTTATTTTACTATGCTGTTTTAAGGTATGTATTGTTAGATACATTTGGCAGATGAGGAAACTAGGACTAATTAGCCCAGGATAAGACAACTAGTGAATAATAGCCAGTATGCAAATTCACGTCTGCCTGATACCACACCCATGTTTATTCCACTATAGCAACTGATTTGCCTCTTAAGAATAAATGAAATTACTGACATTATGCATACAAATTCAATTTTTAATTGTAGTATTAATACTTTTAAATCCATACTTTTTTTTTAAAGCCTGACAGAGAAAATCAAGATTCTTTGTTTGATAGAATTTCAGAAAGTTATGTGGCACTTTTCATGAGCATCCCAGCAAGTCGAAAGGATACATTCCTTCAGGTAAACATAGAAATTACTGGTTATGCTAAGCATTTTAAAAAATTTATTTAATGTTTTTATTTATTTATTTAGTTAGTTATTAGAGAGAGAGAAACCACGTGAACAGGGGAGGGTCAGAGAGAGAGGGAGACACTGAATCTGAAGCAGGCTCCAGGCTCTGAGCTAGATGTCAGCACAGAGCCCAACGCAGGGCTCAAACCCACAAACCACGAGATCATGACCAGAGCCAAAGTCGGACACTTAATCGACTGAGCCACCCAGGCGCCCCAAGCATTTTTAGAGTAAATGACATAAAAATATTTTATTCAAACACTTATTAGAACTTATTTTGTTACTTTGAAAGGAAATTCCTTGAAGTAGGGTAAGTAATGGTCAAATATGAAGAGCTATGCTCCCCTCTCAGAATATTGCATACCCTTGCCTAAAGTCTTACAGAATCTCCTTAGTGTGGTACAGGTATTTTGTTTGCATATTGATAATGTGAAAACTGTTGAATTATTCTGTATATGATCTTGATTTTTTTTCTGTTTATCTATAAAATTAATAATTTTTCTTTTATTTTATAATGTATATTGTGATTTGTTAAAGGGGGCTTGAGAAGTTTATGTTATATGTAAGAGCTAAGTACCTGTGATAGTAAACAAAAATGGACATAGTTATAATCAAATTTTTGTTTTACTTTTCTATTGTTATAATAACTACTGAATATGATTGATTGAAAGAACTTTTGTTCTTTGTGTTCTTTCAATGTGAAATGAATATATGTAGGAATTTCAGTAGGTATTTTAAAATTTATTTTTATTTTTTTAATTTTAAAAAATATTTTAATGTTTATTTATTTCTGAGAGAGAGAGACAGAGACAGAGTGTGAGCCTGGGATGGGCACAGAAAGGTGAAGACACAGAATCCAAAGCAGGCTCCAGGCTCCAAGCTGTCATCATAGAGCCTGATGTGGGACTCGAACTCACAAACTGTGAGATCATGACCTGAGCCGAAGTCAGATTTTTAACTGACTGAGCCACCCAGGTGTCCCTGATATTTTTAAATTTAAACATCTAGCCATTTCAAATATGGGGAAGAACTGAGAGCTTTTCCCCTGAGATCAGAAACACGACAGGGATGTCCACTCTCACCACTGTTAACATGGTGCTGGAAGTCCTAGCATCAGCCATCAGACAACAAAAGGAAATAAAAGGCATCAGAATTGGCAAAGAAGAAGTCAAACTTTCACTTTTCACAGACGACATGATACTCTACATAGAAAACCCGACAGACTCCACCAGAAGCCTACTAGAACAGATCCTAGAATTCAGCAAAGTTACAGGGTATAAAATTAACGTACAGAAATCGGTTGCATTTTTATACACCAATAATGAAGCAACAGAAAGAGAAATCAAGAAACTGATCCCATTCACAATTGCACAAAAAAACCCATAAAATATCTAGGAATAAACCTAACCAAAGATATAAGAGATCTGTATGATGAAAACTATAGAAAACTTATGAAGAAAATTGAAGAAGACACAAAGAAATGGAAAAACATTCCATGCTCATGGATCAAAAGAATAAACATTGTTAGAATGTCATTACTACCCAAAGCAATCTGCACATTCAATGCAATCCCAAGCAAAATTGCACCAACATTCTTCTCAAAGCTAGAACAAACTATCCTAAAATTTGTATGGAACCTCAAAAGACCCTGAATAGCCAAAGTAATATTGAAGAAAAAAACCAAAATGGGAGGCATCACCATCCCAGACTTTAGCCTCTACTACAAAGCTGTCATCATCAAGACAGTATGGTATTGGCACAAAAACAGACACATAGACCAATGGAATAGAATAGAGAACTCAGAATTGGATCCACAAATGTATGGCCAAGTAATCTTTGACAAAGTGGGAAAGAGTATCCAATGGAGAAAAGACAGCTTCTTTAACAGATGGTGCTGGGAGAATTGGACAGCAATGGGCAGAAGAATGAAACTAGATCATTTTCTTACACCATACACAAAAATAAACTGAAAATAGATCAAAGACCTGAATGTGAGACTGGAAGCCAACAAAACCATAGAGGAGAAAGCAGGAAACAACCTCCTTGACCTCAACCACAGCAATTTCTTACTTGACACATCCCCAAAGGCAAGGAAATCAAGAACAACAATGAACTATTGGGACCTCATCAAGATAAAAAGCTTCTGCAGGGCAAAGGAAACAATCAATAAAACTGATAGGCAACAGATGGACTGGGAAAAGATAGTTGCAAATGACATATTAGATAAAAGACTAGTATCCAAATTCTGTAAGGAATTCACCAAACTCCACATCTGAAAAACAAGTATTCCAGTGAAGAAATGGGCAGAAGACATGAACAGACACTTCCCCAAAGAGGAAATCCAAATGGCCAACAGACACATGAAACAATGCTCAGTGTCCCCCATCATCAGGGATATGCATATCAAAACCACACTGAGATACCACCTCACGCCGGTCAGAGTGGCTAAAATGAACAAATCAGGAGACTCTAGATGCTGGCGAGGATGTGGAGAAACGGGCACCCTCCTACACTGTTGGTGGGAATGTAAACTGGTGCAGCCCCTCTGGAAAACAGTGTGGAGGTTCCTAAAAAAATTAACAGTAGAACTCCCCTACGACCCAGCAATAGCACTGTTAGGAATCTACCCAAGGGATACAGGAGTGCTGATGCATAGGGGCACATGTACCCCAATGTGCATAGCAGCAGTCTCAACAATAGCCAAATCGTGGAAAGAGCCTCCATAAACTGATGAATGGATCAAGAAGATGTGGTTTATCTATACGATGGAATACTACTTGGCTATGAGAAAGAATGAAATCTGGCCATTTTTAGCAACCTGGATGGAACTTGAGAGTGTTAAGCTGAGTGAAATAAGTCAGGCAGAGATGAACAGATACCATATGTTTTCACTCATAAGTGGAACAGGAGAAACTTAACAGAGGACCATGGGGGAGGAGAAGGGGAGAAAATACTTGGGGAGAGGGAGGGAGGCAAACCATGAGAGACTGTTGAATACTGAGAACAAACTGAGAGCTGATGGGCGTTGGAGGGTGATGGGCATGGAGGAGGGCACTTGTTGGGTTGAGCACTGGGTGTTATATGGAAATCAACTTGACATTAAACTATGAAAGAAAAAAATTAGCATTAGGAGTACAAAAAATATATAAAAATAAAATAAACATCTAGCCATTTCAAAGCAGAAGTATTTCAAATACTTTTGTGTTGACATCTGTAAATTAGAAATACATTTGTATTTTGAGTTGATAACTGTTTTCGTGGGTAAAACAAACTTAAAACCAGTAAAATGTCTTTCACAATGAAAATGTAAACAAACTTAAACTGCCAAACATTTTAGTTCAGTCTTGACCTATCTTTCTCTAAGAAACAGATTGCATTTATTTATTTAAAAAAAATTTGTTAAGTGTTTATTTTCGAGAGACAGAGAGACAGAGTGCAAGTGGTATAGGGGCAGAGAGAGAGGGAGACACAGAATCTGAAGCAGGCTCCAGGCTCTGAGCTGTCAGTACAGAGCAGGTCATGGGGCACGAACCCACAAACTGTGAGATATTTACCTGAGCCAAAGTCAGATGCTTAACCGACTGAGACACCCAGGCGCCCCTGCATTTATTTAAAAAAAATGCTCGTTGGGGCTCCTGGGTGGCTCAGTCGGTTAAGCATCTGATTTTGGCTCAGGTCATGATCTCAGGGTTCGTGGGTTTGAGCCTTGCGTTGGGCTCTGTGCTGACAGCTAGCTCAGAGCCTGCAGCCTGCTTCAGATTCTGTATCTCCCTCTCTCTCTCTCTGACCCTCCCCTGCTCACGGTGCCTCTCTTTCTCTCTCTCTCTCTCAGAGATAAATAAAAAACATTAAAAAGAAATTTTTTAAATGCTTATTATTCTCACCACACACACACACACACACACACACACACACACACACACACACAAGCAAAATGGTCATTATGTGACATGATGGAGGTGTTAACTAATGTTATGGTGGTAATCTATTGCAGTTTTTAAGTATATCAAATTGACATCCTGTATGCATTAAAATTATACAGTGTTATATGTAAATCATATTTTAATTAAATATTACATAAATAGGGGCACCTAGGTAGCAAGACTTGGGTGCTTGCTCAGAGAAGCAGTAACCACTTTGTTCATCCTACTAACATCTATGTTCTAAAACCATGGCTTGTTAGGATTCTCTTATTGATATGAAAGTTTATGGGGAGAGGGAAGATGACAAATTTAAAATACATGTATATAGGGGCATCTGGACGTGTCAGTCGGTTAAGCATCTGACTCTGACTTAGGTCATAATCTCAAGGTTCTTGGGCTCAAACTCCACGTCGGACTCTGTGCTTACAGCCCAGAACCTGGAGTCTGCTTTGGATTTTGTGTCTCGCTCTCTCTGTATTCCCCCCCGTACCCCACTCACACTCTGTCTCTCTCACAAATAAATAAACATAAGAAATAAAATAAATTTTAAAATACATAAATATACTTTTTATTATAATGGCCTGTACATGTCACTTTCTAAAAGATAACAATACCAAGGTTAAATGAAATAATAATCATCAAACTTTATCTTAAAATATGATCATTAAACCTTATTAACTTCATCCTTTATCCAAATTAAATTTTCTAAATGAAATCAATAATTATCAAACCTTATCTTAAAATGTAGTCATCAAACTTTATCTTAACTGTTAACTTCATCCTTTTATCCAAATTAAATTTTCTAAAATGCTGACAAATAGCCAAATTGACTTTATTTTCAATTCTTCTTTGTCCATGTCCCTCAGTTAGAGGTATAAAGAAATCATAAGTGGCCAAAGCAAGCTATAAGAAAAAAGGGACATAGGATGCCTGGGTGGCTCAGTTGGTTAAGAGTCTGCCTTTTTATTTCAGCTCAGTTCATGATCTCATGGCTCATGAGGTCAAGCCCTGTGTCAAGGCTCTGTATTGACAGTGCGTAGACTGCTTGGAATTCTCACTTTCTGCCTCTCCCCCATGTACACTCTCTCTCTCAAAACAAATAAAATTTTTTAATTAAAATAATTAAATTTTTAAAAAAGATAAAAGGGATATATATTTCACAAACAATAATCATTATTTGGTAGTTGAGATATGCTATATAAAATATGAAATTATTCTAATATGACTCTTTTTGGTAGGTGTATCCTGATTGTTTGGCACAAGCTATCTATGCAACATTCCAGGAAGCATTTCCAGAATCCAGTAATCTTTTTAATGATGAATTTAAAGAAGATCTAGGGAATAATATTTTTCTTTGGCTGTCAGGTATGAATATGTCATTTACATATCGATCATTATTTTGATACTTTTAGATTACAGTATCTTGTCAAAAAAATGGTAGTTCTTTGCTTTATAAAACATGTCATATTAATGAATATTTTTTAAAAAGAATGATTATATTCTCTGAAAGTTTTGCTATATCAAAATCTGTTATTAACTTAGAAGCCAAGTAATTTTATAGACAATGAGATTGTTATAGAAAATTGAATTTCCATAGAACTAAAGTTATATATATTTTATATTTAGAAAGTAAATATTTTAAGCTTCTTTGGAATACTATTGACATTTTTATGACAAATAGTATTGGGTGAATTCCAGAGCTAACACCTCCTTGTAGGAATACAATCAATCATTAGTCAAGGAAAAGGTTTTTGTTTTTAATTTTTAATAATGGTATATATGTAGGTGGAGTTATAGGACTGAAAGGCTGAAGGAAAGTAAAATTCTAACCTAGAGCATTTTGCTAGAGATTTAGGTACTTGAGTGTCAAACTAAGGTATAATTTCATGTTTTAGAGTGACCTCCTCAGTATTTTTTTTGTAAGACTGCTTTACTCTTATGGACTACCAGAAGCTGTTGACTATTTTCAAATAGTTCTTCTTATAAACCTTTTGATAAAAATTTTGACAAATTTTTAAAAACTGTTTTATACCAATTCTTAGTAACCAAATTATTTCTGAAAAAAATGTTATATATTTTAAGGAGGGGGGCCTTTGATAGGTAAAGATTAGAAAACAGCCCTGAGAAAACACCATCCCCTTCAATCAACATACACAGACAAGAGTCTCCTAATTATAGAGGAAAAATACAACTAATTCTAATATGAGAAATAAAAAGAGAATGGACACAGCATTCGTACCAACATACTATCAGAAAAAATCTCATGAAGAACAGAACAGCTTTCCTGCTGACCTCTTCTACTATATTGTGTCCCCCCCAAATTCATACATTGAAGTCCTAATCCCCAGTATACCTCAGATTGTATTTCAGTATAGGAGCTTTAAAGAGGTAAATAGGTAAAATGAAATCATTTGAGAGAGCTCTAACCCAACAAGACTGGCATTTGTTTACTTCATGTCTCTGAGAATTTGGTAATTCCCACAATATTTCAAACTTTCTCATTATTATATTTGGCATGGCGACCTCTGATTAGTGATTACACCTGCTGAAACCTCAGATGACAGCATTTTTTAGCAATAAAGTATTTTTTAATTAGAGTGTATACATTATTTTAGACATAATGCTATATAGCACACTTAATAGACTATAGTATAATGTAAACATAATTTTCATATGAGTGGAAAACCAAAAAATTCATTTGACTTTATTGTGATATTCCATTTACTGCAGTGGTATGGAACTGCACCTTCAATAGCTCCAAGTTATGTCTGTATATAGGAAACCCTCAAGACTCTGCCAAAAAACTGTTAGAACTAATCGATGAATTCAGCAAAGTTGAAGGGTACCAAACACTATACAAAATCCGTTGCATTTCTTAATGCTAACAAGAAAATATCTGACAAAGTGCTAAAACAATCTCATTTGCAATAACATTAATAACAATAAAATACTTAGGAATGAATTTAGTCAAGGAGATCAAAGATCTGTATATTGAAAACTGCAAGATTTTTATGAAAGAAATTAAAGAAGACAAAAACAAATGGAAAGATATCCTATATTCATGGACTGAAAGAATTGATTTTGTTAAAATGTCCGTACTACCCAAATCCATCTACAGATTCAGTGTAGTTCTTATCAAAATTCCAATGGCATTTTTCACAGAAATGGAAAAAACAACCTCAAAATTTGTATCCCGGATGTGAATAGCCAAAGCAACCCTGAGAAAGAACAAAGCTGATTTCAAATGATACTACACAGCTCCAGTAATCAAAATGATACTGGCATAAAAATAGACACATAGACCCATGGAATAGAATTAAGAGCCCAGAATTAAGAGCTCAACTAATACTCAATACTAACTCTCTTCCATGAATGGTGATAGTTAAACTGGATAACCACATGTAGAATGAAATTGGACTTCTTTCTTATAACACTCACAAAAATTAACTCCAAGTGAGTTAAATATTTAAAATAAGAACTAAACTATAAAACTTCTATAAGACGGAGGACCAAGGGGGAGAAGAAGGGCGGAAATGGTGGGGGAAAGGGAGAGAGGCAAACCATGAGAGACTCTTGAATGCTGACAAAAACTGAGGACTGATGGATGTGGGGGGGAGGGAGGATTGGCATGGAGGAGGGCACTTTGGGGATGAGCACTGAGTGTTATGTAGAAACTAATTTGACAATAAACTATTTGTAAAAAAAAAAAAAAAAACAAAAAACTTCTATAAGAAAACATAGGAGAGAGGCACCTATGTGTCTCAGTCGATTGAGCATCTGACCCTTGATTTTGGCTCATATCATGATATCATGGGATAGAGCCCTATGTTGGGTTCCACACTAAGCATGGAGCCTGTTTAAGATTCTCTCTCTCTCTCTCTCTCTCTCTCTCTTTCTCTCACTTACTCTCTCTCTCTCCCTCTGCCCCTCTCCCTTGCTAATGCACTCTCTCTCTCTCTAAAATAAAAAAAGAAAACATAGGGAAAAATTATTGACATCAATCTTAGAAATGATTTTTTTGGATATGGGACACCAGAAACAAAAGCAACAAAAGCAAAAAATAAGGGGGATCACACCAAACTAAAAAGCTTACACACAGTGAAGGAAACCATTAAAAAAATAAAAAGGCAGTTTACAGAATATATTTCCAAATCATAATCTGATAAGGGATTAATATCCAAAATATATAAAGAATTCATACAACTCACTAGCAATAAAAGAAAACAAACGTTTAAAAATGGACAGAGGAACTAAAGAGACACATTTCCAAAGAAGATATATAGATGGCCAATAAGTACATGAAAAGACAACACTCAACACCACTAATCAGGGAAGTCCAAATCAAAACCATGAGATCTCATCTCACACCAGTCAGAATGGCTAGAATAAAAAAAGACAAGAAATAAGTTATGAGATCTCATCTCACACCAGTCAGAATGGCTAGAATCAAAAAGACAAGAAATAAGTTTTGGCAAGGATGTAGAGAATAGGGAACCTTTGTGCACTGTTAGTGAGAATGTAAATTAGTGCTGTTACTTTGGAAAACAATATGGAGGTTCCTAAAACTATTTTAAATACAGCCAGTATGTAACCTAGCAATCCCACTTCTGGGTATACATCCAAAAGAAATAAAACAACAAAGAGTATGTGGCTGGCTCAGTAAGTAGAGCGTATGATTTGATCAAGGTTTGTGACTTCAGCCCCGTGTTGGACATGGAGCCTACTTTAAAAAAAATAAATAAATAAAGAGAGATCTGCACTCCCACATTCATTGCAGCCTTATTCACAACAGCCAAGATATAGAAACAATCTAGGTGTCTGTCATTAGATGAATGGATAAAGATGATGGATATATATGGATAATGGAATATTATGCAGCCATACAAAAGAAAGATATTTTACCATTTGCAACAACATGGATGCACCTTGAGGGCATTATGCTAAGTGAAATAAATCAGAAAAGACAATTATTTTATGATATCACTTATATATATTTCATTTAGAAAAGAAAAAAAATACCAAACTCCTAGAGAATAGGGTAGTTGTTACCAGCAGATGGAAGAAATGGGAGATGTTGGTCAAAGTGTATGAACTTCTAGTTATAAGATAAATAAGTTCCAGAGAACTAATGTATAACATGATGATTATAGTTAATAATACTGTATCGTATACTTAAAAGTTACTAAGAGAGTAGTTCTTAGATGTTCTCACCATAGCAAAGAAATGGTAACTATGTGACATGATGGAGCTGTTAGCTAACTATATGGTGGTGATCATTTCCAATATATATGAGTGTATCAAATAAATAGAGTTGTACAAAGTTACATGTTAAATGTTCTATGTTAAACTTACACAGTATTATATGTCAACTATAGCTCAATAAAGCTGGAAAATTTGATATTAAAATTAAAAATCATGAAAGCTAAAGATATAGAACACCTTCATTTGGAGGCTGTGATCCTATATTATTGCCATTTTTTGGAATAGTCCATGTTTAGTGACCAATTTGAATTTCTTACTTATAAATAATGATGGGATGTTGTCAGCTCAACAAGTGGTTAATTTGGAAAAGAAACAATGGAGAAACTGACCTGTATGAAGTGCTTACTATGGACCAGACACTGTGCCAGATAATTTCACATCTGCCTTGATGGCAGGCAGGGATGAAGTTAAATTGAATTTTGGGTCCCTTGTGTCAGATACATAGTTTAGTACATAGTAAGCTTGCAAAAGTGTTTGTTGAATGTCATTTCTCTATATGTATCAGGACCAAGTAGGTTTTATCCCAGAAATGGAATGATTATTCAACATTAGATGTATTAACAACTCTGTTATTTTCTGTATTTTGACGCCATGTCATCTGGGGCCTTGCTTTCCCTGGAAGGACTGCCAGGGTTAGCCAGTTCCTAGAAATATTAAATAACTCCCCCATAAAGGTGCTTTTCAAATACAAACCAACCAATCCAGAGCCCGCATGGCAATACCTCATTTATTGGGTTCTCACACTGGACCGCTATCCCCTTATCTTAACCATTCCAGGATCAGGTACCAAACAACTGGGTACAGCCCGTATGTTCCAGAGCCTACTGAAATTATTCAAACTAGTCAGTTCTGAGCCAGTTTACCCTGACTCACCCTTTCCTGAGAAACCACAGTGAAGGCTCTTGCCCACAGTGTCCTCTACCCCTCTGTGTCTGCACTGGCCCCAGTGTTGCCATGTGGCCCCATGGCATGGTGTGCTCCTCCTCTTGGGAACTATGCGCAATAAACTATCTTTTCCATGCCAATCATTTCCTGACCTGTTCGCCTCACTGTACCTCCAATTTTCTATTAATACACTATACTTTAAAACATACACAATCTATCAAGAAGCATTCAAGTGAATTAAACTGAAGTCTTCCACATATTTTGTCTAGCGGCAACTAATGTGAAACAAGTGATAACTGAATCTAAAAACACCTAGAAAATTTAAATTTGACAGCCAAATATAGCAAGTAATCCTCATTGAACACTCACTACTGAAAAAATATTGGCTATATTTAGAATATATCAATGTATAGTAATGATAATAGTATTAGCTGATATTTTTCATTTACTGAACACTTTAACATATTAACTCTTGGAGTACACCAAGGAATTTACATTGTTCTTATTTTAATTGCTGGGGATGAAAGTGTTCATTGTGATTAAATGGATTATTCAACCATACACAGCTTTTGGAACCAAAGTAGAACTTTTAAAATTTATTTTTGTTACTTTTTGGATATTACAATTGATTGATAAATACTATTTTAAGATATTCAGGAGATACAGATAAGGCATAATAATAAGAGTCATCTATATTCAGAAGCACTCGTGTTAACATTTAAGCTACAGACACACATACCTAAGACATAAAATTGTTCTTCACAAAAAAAATTATAAATACCTTTGTATGTTAACAAATATTTACAAGATAACTTTAAGTGGATACCTCATAATCCATTGTATGGATGTATTCTTGTTGTATATTTAAGTCTTTCCGAACTCTTTGCAATAATTAACTTCCTCTTATGTCCATCAGTGAATTTAGCTTATGTCTCTTAATCAGAAGGTGATACTAAGTTTTACCTCTTTTTTAATTCACTATTTTATGTAATAAGACATTAATATTTCTCATAGAGTTTCCCTTATAGAAAACTTGAGGCTGACAGTTTTCACAGGATTGTTATGAGGATGAAATATGTAACACATGAAAATTCTTTGACAAATTAAAAGATATTTTCAAATGCTAATTTCCTTGACTAAATGCACATTTTATAACAGGTTTAAAACCTCAAAAAGGCTTTTGGACCCAGTGGAGACTGAAAGAGCTCTCTACAACAAGCATACATGGTAGTAAGAAATCACCTTCAAGATCTTTAAAGCACAGAATTGAAAGGAGTCAGGAACGTATAACAGCTGGTAAGTAAACTTATTGTCAACTGTAGAATAAAATAGCCAAAATCAAGTATATTAAGTTATTTATTTATAATAATTTTCTAATTTATTCTTTGCTGAAGTTCTCAAAATAACATTTGCTTTGTAGATTGGTGTTACAGTAGTTTGAATATTGCTTCACATTTTAGTTTTTCAATATAAAAGTGGTATGTGCTTAAGTCCTCCCATTTGCCTGCTATTATATTCTTATATTGATCTTCTATCTTACAGTCTCATTAATTCTAGTAGCCTTGTTATACCTTTCTTGGGATTTTCTTTATGGAAAATCATGTTATCTGAGAATAAAGAGCATTTTAGTTCTTCATTTCCAATCTATCTGCCTTTTATTTATTTTACTTGCTGAGGGCTAGGACCTCTAAGAAAATGATAACTAAAAGCAGTGAGAGTGGACATCCTTGCCTTACTCCTGATTTTAGAGGAATGTTAGGTTATCTGCCTTTAAATAGATTTTGACTGCCAGTTTTTATAGAAGACTTTATCAGGTTGAGGTGGCTTCATAGATGTAAGAACTCGACAAATGCTTTTTACCATCTGTTGAGATGAGTCTATTTCTTTTTTTATTGTACTCTTCTAATATTGTGAATTATGTGGATTGATTTTCAAATGTTAACCCAATCCTTAATCCCTGGGGTAAATCCCATTTGGCTGTTGTATATTAACTTATTCATGTACTACTGGATTTAATTTGCTAAAATTTTTGTTTTATTTTCCTATACTATCCTGTCTCATTTTAGTGGTAAGTATAATGTTCCCTCCTCTTCTCTTTTCTAAACGAGTTAGTATAAAACTGATATTTATTCTCCTTCCAGTATTTGGTAGAATTCTCCAGTGAAACCACCCAAGCCTAGAATTTTTTTGTGTGGGAAAGTTTTTGACAACAAATTCAGTCTCCAATAGATGTAGGGCTATTCAATTTACCAGTTCACTCTTAAGTGAACTTAGTTGTTTTGTGTGAATTTTTATTTCATTTCTTTAAATATTTTTGAGGTTTTTTTTCTGGGATGTCATCCAGTTACTTAGAAATATTTCAATCCATTTGAGACTTGCTTTTAAGCTTCATTAGGTGGAACCAGAGAAGTCTTTTGTCTAGGCCTAACTTGCTTCCCCTGCTGAAGCAATACTGTTCTCAGTATTCTACCCTTAGTCTGCATATAGGAAGTTTCCCATCTTACCATCTAGAACCTGAGCTCTGTGTGAGCCCCAAGCAGTGTTCTGCCTGCTCTTTCTCTTCGGTGGCTCTTTACCAACCTCAGGCAAAGATTCAAAGGTAATCCTCTGAAGATCTTTCGAATGCTTTCGGTGTGAATCTGTCTCCTCCAAATTGTGCTGACCTATGAACTTTAGCTTGCCTTGGCCTTCCAGAATGCTAAATTTTACTTTCTTGACTCAGTGACACTAATGGATTCTGTTTGGATTCTCACACCTTGCAGTGTGGAGAGGAGATGATTGAAGGGCTCCCTCATTTGTTTCTCTTGAGGATTACTGGCCTGTGCTGCCTATTGTCTAACACATGAAAACCATTGTTTTGTAGATTTTGTTCAAATTTTTAGTTGTTTAAGAAAGAAGAGTAAATCCAGGCCTTGTTTCTTCATAATAGTTAGAAGTGGAAGCAATTGTATGTACTTTTTAAAGAATTAAAAGACGGGGGCCCCTGGGTGGCTCAGTCAATTAAGCATCGGTCTTCAGTTCAGGTCACGATCTTGTGGTTCGTGAGCTTGAGCCATGCATTGGACTCTGTGCCAACAGCTCAGAGCCTGAAGCCTGTTTTGGATTCTGTCTCCCTCTCTTTCTGCCCCTCCCCCACTCACATTCTCTTTCTCTCTCTCTCTCTCTCTCTCTGTCTCTCTCTCTCAAAAATAAATAGATAAAAACTTTAAAAATCTGACAGCACTGAGCCTTCTTTTGGATTCTGTGTCTCCCTCTCTCTGTCCTTCCCCCATTCACACTCTATCTCTCTCTCAAACATTAAAAAAAAAGAATTAAAAGAAGACTTAAAAATAGCCTTCTATTTTTATTCATATATTTACCATTCTTGGAACTTCATTCCTTGCTATAAATTTGAGTTTTCTTGTGGTGTTATTTCCTTTTAGCCTGAGAAACTGCCTTCTCATAGAAGGAAATTCTGCCAGCAATGAATTTCCTTATTTATTTATCTTAAAATAATGTTCATTTCGCCTTTATTTTTGGAGGATATTTTTGCTGGGTATAGAATTCTGAGTTCATTTTTCTTTGGATTTTAGCAAGATATTGTTCCATTGTGTTCTCGTTTGTATTATTTCTAATGAGAAGTTGGACATTGTTCTTATTATTATTTCACTGGATCTAGGGTCAGGAACTTTCTGTAAAGGGCTAAATAGTCAACATTTTAGGTTTTGTTGGATACATATCATCTCTGTCACATAATAGTTTCTTTACAACTCTTTGAAAACATAAAAACCATTCTTCGGTTCCAAGTGATATGAAAAATAGGCCATGGGCTTGATTGGACCTGCAGGCTATAGTTTATTGATTCCTACTCTATTCAATGTACCTTTTTTTCTAGCTACTATTACAATTTTTCTCTTTGTTCTTAGTGTTCAGCAATTTGTTCATGATGTGCTGACATACTTTTCTTTGTGTTCATCGTGCTTGGGCTCACTAAGTTTCTTAAACTCATGGTTTGAGATTTTTTACTAAATTTGGGAAAATTTTGCCATTATGTTTTCAAATCTGTTCTATTTCTTTCCTCTGGGACTCTAGCATGTACTATAGTATTTAATGTTATCCACAGTTTATTGGGACTTTGTTGTAGGTTTTTTCAATCTTGTTTTATAGATTTCATAATTTCTGTTTATCTCATTTTAAGTTCACTGATGCTTTCTTCTATGGTCTATGATCTCTTTTCCCAATAAATGAATATTTCATTTCCTATATTGTACTTTTCAGTTAAGAATTTCCATTTGGTTCTTTATTAAATAGTTCCCATTTCTGTTCTGAAGTTCTCTTCTTTTATTATGACCATATCTTCTTTTAAGTCCTCAAATATATTCAAAATAGTTGCTTTAAGTTCTTATCTGGTAATCCCCACATTTGGATAACTTTGAGATTGATTCCTATGACTATCTTTTTCTTGACTATGAGTCATAATTTGTTGTTTCACTTCATGTCTAGTAACTTTTTATATAATCTTGGAATTTTAAATGATACTTTGAGGATTTTCTGCATTCTGTTAATTTCCACTGAACAAAGTTAATTTTTGTTCAAGTAAGTTACTTTGGATATATTCAAAGTCTAAATGTTATATGTTCTGTGATTGATGGTCAGCCACTAAAATCCCCACTTAGAACTTTTAATCACCCAGTTATTCCTTTCTACCCATCCCTCTAGAGCTCCCTCTTCCCACCATATGTGTGAGTAATTCAGACACCAGCCAAGGATTTGGAAAGAGCTTATGATATAGTTCAGATTTTGGGCTTCCTCTTCTGCAGACCCTTTCTTTCTAGGATTTCTAAAACTTCTCCTTCATTTTTCAATCTTCTGGAAGTCCCAAATGCCATTCTCTTAAGCCAATAATAGTTCTACTTTATATGTGAATTCCATCCACTCACATGCAATGATGACTAAGTAGTACCATCAGACAAAAAGTTGTTTAAGCAACTACATGAATACAAATTTCATCCCCTTAGCAGTTCCCTCTTACAGGGTTCAGCTCCCCTCCAATTTCTACCTGCTGTTGTTGGTCATTCCCTGGTACCTAAAAATGGCTGTTTTTAAATAATCTGTTCGAGAATTTATAACTTTTATCTGTGGGAAAGTTAGACTGATATAAATCAAATATTTTATTTAAATACTGACTTTATGACTTAAATACCACATTTTCAAGTCAAATTTTACTTAAAACTTTATATGTTGCTTCATTGTCTCTTATTATTTAGTCTAGTAGAAAATTCTAAAGTCGACTATTTTTTCCCTTCTTTACAGTTAATTTATGGAATTTTGTCTTACTTTTCTGTTTAGATGTTTCCAAAATGTTTACATTTGTCATTAAAATTGAAAAATGTCACTGGAATGTGTCTTGATATGAATGAAAGCTTTCATAGATTTTTCCTAATGATAAATTTAATAATAATTCTTGGATTTCCCTAAGCTCCGACACAGACCTAGTAAAGGTCTTAGCCAAATATTTCAAGTGAGACAGAAACTGGCATGGCCAGACTGAAGAGGGAGGAAAAGTGCCTCTGTTTCAGATATTGTACCATTGGAAGGTATCCCCCTAACACTGAGGAAACAAAATATCTAGAGAGAGGCTTTCACATGGTACACTATAAAAGACTAACTGATTCAGCATAAAAACTGAATATGTATAGGGATCAATGAAAAAAAAAAAAAGAAAGAAAGAAAAAGTCTAGTAAAAGTTGTTCATTTGGTAAATGTGGTATAAGCCAAGAACAGTTTTCTGTTAGGTAGCAAAAACTGAAAGGGACCTGGAAGTTAGGCTGACAGCAAAAAAAAAAATCAAGTCCTGGGAAAGACCACATTTTTTACATTATGTCTTAGCCCTTTCAGGAGCTTACCAGGCCACCAGGTGCTCCTGGACCATAGAGGTAAAATGACTGTGTAAGGCTTCTCATTGGTTTCCCACCAAAACATCTCATTTCAATGCAGCTTGTGCTTTTCTAAGTAAGTTTCTGCCAGTGAGGATGTAGATCTGTCAAGAGCTCCTCCTGTGTACTTTCCCACCATATGATAAAGTATATTTATTGTCAGGCTTTTAAATTTTTGGTTCTATAGGCTTCAGATATAATACCAATTGATCTAACTATGTTCTGGTGCTGATGGATGCAGACTTTCCTATTTATGCTTCATAGTTCTTTACCTTGAGGGTTGGGAGAAAGACTAAAGTAGCTGTGTTTATCCCACCACTTTATGTAGAAGTCTCCATTTAGGTGTGTTTTTATTATTATATTTTACTGAAGCATGCAAAA